TACAGTACAATTGATTGTATTTATTAAACATTGATTTAATTGACTAATCATGAGGACTAATTTAAGTAAGATTTTAAATATCATACAATATATTTGGGATCATATATTACGGTTAGTTAAAAAATCAAATTTTAAAATACTTACTTAAATTGTCTAGCAACTAGCTAGGGTTTCCTGATAGAAATAAATCATACAATACGATTAGTTTAAAAGTATTAATTATAAGGTTAGCCATTAAAATTAATTTTTTATATAGCTAATCATATAGTATGATATGAATCGTACGATACAATTAGTTAAAAAAATTTAAACTCATTTTTTCTCATTATTATGTGTGTGTGCAAGGTCGCAAATTTAGCATACACATTTATATGGCCATACTCAAGAAATATAAAATAAAAAAATTAAAATACAGACTATTTTAAATCATCATATTCTACCCAAACTTGAGCCTTGAATATTCTTGAGCACTGTATGATGTACCTGAAATGTTAGTATACATAAAAAAATAATATGCAATATAGGTGCTATGAGAAATAAAAATTCAATCAATAATATTTTTTTATCATCAAATTAATAATTTATGGATCTTGGATTACAACAATCTCTCCATTTTTTATGATATCAAATATTTTTTATTGAAAATACAAGTTAATATTTTTCTCATAATCTCCCTCTCACTAAAATAGTGGTAAGATAATTTTTTTTAAAATACTTTTAGCTAAATGCAAAAGTAAAAGTACAATACAAACATAAGATTCATAAAATAAAATTCATAATAAAGAGGAACATATATAATTGTAGAAAAATAAAAAAATATAAAGCATAGAACACATATCTTAAAAGTAGGAAGACCCTTAATCAGGTGGTGTTGGTGGCTGGAAATACTTGTGAATTGATGAATATTATTCATCAAACCAAGCCATGTCCGGCTAGTGCTACTCATGCTACTGCTAGACGTGAGTGTTGAAGCTTATGAATAACTGACCAACTCTCCAACTTAAGGACTCATATTGAGAGAGTTGGAAAGTAGTTGCTGGTGCTAAAGATGGTATAGGAGTAGGAGAAGGGGGTGCTGCCAGATGGTCTTCCTCTTCTTCATCAAAATTGAGCTCCTTTTTTTCCTTCATGTCCCCGTTGATGATGAAAGAGAATGTGGAAGAAATTGTCGGTGTAGAAAATAGGGAAATGATCGGCAATGGTAGGGTAGACATGCTCATACTTTTTAATTTAGAAAATAGGAAATGACATATCCTAAAGTAATATTTTGCTTCCTTCGGATTGAAGAAAGATGGATGGAGGTGAGATTATGGATATAGCTTATAATCATTTGAGCTTCATCAAACTGTGCCCCATACATGACAAAATAGATAACCAAGGATAGAAGTGGGGTAATGTTTACTAAATCTCTAGCTTTAGGAATGATTGAGTTTCTAAGAACATGATGGATAATATGAGCATTTTGATTTAAGGAATGGACAAGGGGCTGATGTTTATTTATAGCAATATTCCTAATTATTAGATTGATAACACTCCAATCATAGTCACCCCTAGAAGACATTGAATGTGGGTGAGGCCCTTCTATAGATAGGTGAAGACATTGGGCTAAATCCTCTTTGGTAATTTTGACTAGGTGTGTAAAAATATAAGACCTCATGATAGGGACATCGATACTAATCCTAAGGTTGGAAAAAAATTCATAAAAAAAAAAAACTTAAAATTGAATTGGATAGCTAAAATGAGTAAGAATTGGAAAATGGTGGATGCAAAGAAGTTCATCACCTCATAATTTAGGGCTTGTTGATTCAGCAATCTGGATGGAGTGATGCAGGCTTCATTGTACCAATAATAGGTTGTTTCATCTTCTACAAACGGGAATCAATCTTTGATAGGATGACGAGAGGAATAGCTGCCTCTTTGGATCAGACGAGCGTACTTGCTACCTCTGACCATTTAAACAATTGAAGGTATGAGTAAAGAAGAAAGCAAAGATTTGAAGAATTGGATGAGTTAAGCTTTAGAAACACCTTTAATTTATAGAATTTCCAACTGATCGTACAATACAGTTTGAGACTGCACAGTACGATCAGACAAATTTAAATTATCTATATGACTTGTTAGAAAAAATGACAAAATCATACAACATGATCAAGATATTACTAGATGATCTTAAGAAAAAACATTCGTCCCAAGGAGTCATTTGTATGACTCTTGACCAAACTGATCGTACAGTATGAACAGGTGTTCGTATAGTACGATAGGTCAATTAATATTGTACCAGTTGATTTGAATTTGTCCAATGGCTTTTGACACGTATATCGTATAGTACGAAGAGGGTTTATTATACAATACGATCAATAATGATTGATACCATATCAGAGCCATTGATTTCACATAAGACTGAGATTTATGTAGGGATGTGTAGAACGCATAGTACGATGTGAATAAAATTTTGATTTGTCATTTTTTATTTAAAATAAAAGGTGTGTGAAGATCAAGAAATATCTACTAAATGCAAAATAATAAAATAAATGAAAACAAATCAACAAATAAATAATCATAAAATTTTAAAATATGATACACATAACACATATAAAATGGTTGATTTCAAATGATAGAAATTTGATTCATCCTGAATCAAACATGAATGTCTATAACACTTAGTATAGTCCTCAAGATGTTAAAGGTGTCATAAACAAGGGGTTTGATAAAAATGTATTTTAATTGATTTTCAGTAGCTATATGATGTAGTTCTATATCTCCCTTGGCTACATAATCTTTAATGAAATGATGCATAATGTATATATGCCTAGTGTAAGAGTATTGGAATGGATTTTTAAAAATACAGATAACATTAGTGTTGTTACATATAATAATAAAAATGGTACCTACATTCAGTCCAAGATCTAAGATTTATCGCTTCAACCATAAGACTTGAGCAACACAGCTTCTTACACCAATATATTCTGTCTCAGCAATGGATAGGGATATTGAATTTTACTTTCTATTAGACCAAGAAACTAATGATTGGTTTATAAATTGTCAGGTTTCTGAGGTGCTTTTTTTATCTACCATACATCCTACAAAGTCAGAGTTTGTATATCCTATGATTTCAATGGATGAGCTATGTATTTGATATCAAATACTTAAGTTTGGGATAACTAATAGGTATCTAAGGATTCTCTTAACATCAATCATATGAGATTCTTTGAGATCAGCAAGAAATCTAATATATAGATATACACTGAACATGATACTAGGTCTACTACTAGTCAAATAAATAAGTGATCTAATTATCCCTTTATATTTTTTCTGGTCAATTGATTTTTCATTGGGTTCATTATCTAATTAAATGGTAGAGCTTATGGGAGTATTGATTATCGTAGAATTAATAATCTCATATTTATTAAGGATGTCTTTGATTGGCTAAGGAATATTCCATCATCCTTTTGTTTCACACTAAATCCAAGGAAATATGTAAGCTCTCCCATCATACTCATCTCAAACTCCTCACTTATTATTTTTGAAAATTCATCATAAAGATTCTTATTTGTAGATTCAAAAAAGTATATCATTAACATAAATTTAAACAATGAATGGTTCTTTTCCTTTTTTTTAAGGAATATGGTGATGTCTACATTAGCCTTAACGTAAAATTATTTTATATTTTTTAAAGGGGTTATACACACACACACACACACACATAACATCTAAAATAATTATTTTGACATACCTAGCATCTAAAATAATTATTTTGACATACCTAACACCTAAAATACACTATTTACTTATATACCACATAAACAACATTCATAACATCTGAAATAGCACTATGTTATATTTCTGTCAAAACCTCACCCCGACTCCTTTGAGTCTGTTCTTTTTCCAACGTGAAAGCTTCTCAGATGACCCGTCACTTCTTCCAAGCTCGAGTAGGTTCTGATATCTCTCCACTCTTCTCATGTCTTTCTCATGCCCTAGGTCTTCTCTGCAAAACCAAGGAAGGTAGCACCACCAACGTATTTATTTATTTGGTTCGGTTCCATGATAATGTGCTGATAAATAATGTATCCCAATTGGTGTGGTGGGTTTTTGTGCTTTATACGATGATGATATCCCGCCTATTGGACCCCTCCCCTTGGATGGTCTTTGGGCAACCAGGGGAGCAGCTATTTCTACTATTAAAGTGTTGATTAATATGATCTTATTTATGAGTCCAAGCTTATTTTTTTAGATTTTAATAAAATAAGTTATTTTTATGTTGTTCGACATTCTTTTTGTAATTGTAGTAAAAAAAATTAACAACTATAAAATGAGTTCGAGCCGCTCGACAATATCAATGAGAAACCCAAACAATCAAATTTATTGTCGCTACAATCTGCAATGCACAATCTATACACTTTGCAAACCTACTAATCGTGGAAGAAATTTCTATAGATGTCTTCGAAATAGATCAAAAGATGATTGTGATTATTTTAGGTAGTTTGAAGAAGCAAATGATCTACTGACTAATCTGAATTAGTTAAGAAGTTCAAATGTAGGCGAAATTAGTTTGAGCCATTTTGTATCAATTAGAATCATTTTTCTTCAAATTAAAACTTTGTGCTTGTTGCCATTGCTGTGAATTCTCTCACAAAGATTTCTTGCTGTAAACTTTGACTATAGTTTAATTTGTGATGCTTGATCTTGTTTAGAGCTGTACAAAATGTGAAATCTATGTTGCAATGTTTAAGCACTAGATCCAATATTGAGATATGTGTTATATAATTCTTGATTGTAAGGTTCTCTGAAAGGGACAGGAAGAAATATTGAGATTTATCTGATGTTAATCTGATCATTGAATTAAAGATTTAAAATGTTGAGATATGAATTTCACCATTCTTGTTATTTGACTTATAATGATGATTTCATATTCTGTTTACATTGTAGCTTAGTAGCTTAGGCTCTTTATATTCTCTGCAAGGTTTCAAAAAACTCACACTAAATTTACATTAAGTTTTCAATTACTTGAAATTCAATTACAGAAACTAATACAATGCATATAGACAGATAAGTAATAATCCCTAAATAGAAGAAGTGAAGAACCTCATGAACCATGCACAAGAAAAAAAGATGAATAGGATAACAAAACACCAACTAGCCATCTGCCTAAACAATGCCAAAAGGAAGAATAACATAGTCGACGTAATAAACAAACAAAGAAGCTAAAAAAAAAATAAACCCGATGGCGGTGCTATCTTTCTCGGTTTTGCAGAGAAGACCTAAGGCATGTGAAAGGCTGGGAACGAGAAAGAGTATCACAAGAAGGAGAGTCGAGAGACATCAGTGCATGTTCGAGTGAAGAAGAGGTGATGGGTCGTCGGAGAAGCTTTCACGCAAGAAAAGGAACGAGCTCATATAGATCGGGTGGGATTTTGATAAGAATGCAACAAAGCGGTATTTCAGATGTTAGGAATATTGTTTTGGCAGAATATAAGTAAATAGTAAAAATCAGATGTTAGATATGTAAAAATAATAGTTTTTGATGTTATATATGTAAGTTTTTTTTTAATATAAATAATTTTATTATTCTTTTAAAAGTTTTTATAATAAAACACAAGGTTCTGAAAACCGGACCGGATAATGAACCGGAAGAAAGAGAGGTTCACGGTTCGACCGGTTCGACCGGTCTAATTGGGGTCGAACCGGATGACGTAATAAATAATATTATTATTATAAAAAAATTAACAAAATAATGAAATTTAATAACCATATAATTTCATATAAATTATTGTTATTTTATATTACATATTTAGATTTAATTTATAAACATAAATTATTTAAAAGCTCATAATATACAATTATAAATATAATTAAATATTTTTATATAAATTATTTCATTTGGCAACATCTAAAAATGTTAAAAAAAATTACCATATTATTTACAAAGTTTTTTAACAATATAATATTTATCAAATATGTTAAAAAACTTAATATTTACAAAGTTTTGTAAATATGTTAAAATTTACAAAGTTTTTTACATCATAATATTATGACCGGACATCTAAATATGTAAAAAACATTAAAAAATATTATTCAAATATAAAAAATAATTATTTCTATTATAATTTATATGATATAAGTTTTACTTGAGTGATTTGACAAACAAAAATGAATCCACATTAACTTTATAATATATATAATGAAAAATATTAAAAAAAATAAATATAAAAAAATTAAATATTATGAACTAAGAAAATAAATTTTATCAACTAAAAAAATTAATATTATTCAAATTATAAAAAACTAATTAAAAAAATTATTTAAAAAAAATAATACAAAACTATACAAAGGCTAAAACTATGAAACAAAAAATGGGTCTTTGCTTTGTATGGTTTAGTCCCACATTGCTTGGGAAGTTTTACTTTGTATATTTTATATACCTTTTCACTTTCTCTCATACCAAGAGGTCATGTGAGGAAAAGATGACATGAGGTTGTTCAATTATTATTTAAAATAATGTACTTAATATGAAATTAAAAGTTTTATAACAATTGATTAAGATTAATATTTATTTAATATTATTTATATTAAAAAAATTTGAACCGGCCGGTTTTAAGAAACCCGGACCGGTTCGCCGGTTCCCCGGTTGAACCGGCGGTTCATGCCAAAACCGGCCGGTTCGATGCTAAGCCGGTTCTCAGGTTGAACCGAACCGGCTTTCAGACCGGTTCACGGTTGAACCGGTCCGATCGGCCGGTCCGGTCCGGTTTTTAAACCATTGATAAAACATTTTTTACTTCAAAAATTTTAAATTAAGGTCATTAAAATTTTAGGAGTTATAAATTGCAAAATAATGTGATTTACCTGAAGTTGTACAAGTGCGCCCTTAACCCTCCCTGTTCTCGAGAAGAACGCCATTTTCACGCGGTTGGTTTGCTTCCACGATGAACGGCGGGCCTTCCGGCTTCCGTAATCTCTTATCTCCCCCAAGATTCAAGCGATTATCCGAAGCAATCTATTATATTTCCCTCCCTCGATGAATTTCTGAACTTTTTTCTGTCTTACTCCTATTGTAGACAATGCCCCCGTCACCAGGTCATTCGTAATTGCGTGTGCTCTCCTCACTTTAATCTTTGGGGTTCGCGGCCGTTCTGCAAAACTTGGATTATCTTACGAGGTAAACCCGTTTTCCTCCCCCATCTCTCTTCCAGTTATGCGATTAGTTCGAGTTGTTAATTGAACATGCTTGGTTCACTTGTGATGTACTCTGGTGTATCCAGCCAATAAAACTGTTATTTTTTATGGGAGCTTGGTTGTGGCGTTCGGGCCAATATTTCTCTTGGTTGTCTTGGTCGAGAGGAAAGAGGTTTTCTATATCTTACTGATTGAATATGTTGGGGTTTTAAATATGCGTACAAGAGTATATAATTAGAAAATAAACATAGAATAATAGCCAAAATTTTGAGATATTAACAACTAATTTTTTCTAATATTATCTCCTTTCGACCTATTATGCTAACACTACTAAATAAACCAACATTCTCCCTCAAGTTAGGGCATATACTGTATTAGCTTCAACTTATTGCATAAATACAAAAATGTAATTGTCATAGAGCTTTGGTAAATATATCTGAGCTCTTGTTTTGAATTGGAGACATAAGAAGTAACAATTTTCTTAGAAATCATAGCATTTTGTATGAAATCAAAATCTATTTCAATATGTTTATTTCTTCATGAAAAGTATAATTATTGGCAATATGGATGATGCCACTGTCACAATATAGTGTTGTAGGTTGAGTAAAAGGAAAATCGGACTCCTCTAAAGTAGTTTTAACCTACATCATCCTCACACATACTAACTCACAGTGGAGGAGCTTGAAATTTTTAAAGGGGGCCCCAACTTTAACCTTTATTCAGCTGATTTTTATATTCATATTTAATTAATCACTTTACTGTGTATTATGAAAAATCAATATACTCTATGAAGATATGCTTGCAAATTTCATTTCAGTTTTTTTTTTTATAAAACCGCTTGCAGGAAGCGTCTGACGCGGACTTTTCTAAATTTCGCGGGTGAGGAGGGGGTGTGGGGGGGGGGGGGGTTAACTTGGGGCCTACGAGGTAAACCCGTTTTCCTACCCCATCTCTCTTCCAGTGATGCGATTATTTCGAGTTGTTAATTGAACATGTTTGGTTCGCTTGTGATGTACTCTGGTGTATCCAGCCAATAAAACTGTTATTTTTTATGGGAGCTTGGTTGTGGCTTTCGGGCCAATATTTCTCTAGGTTGTCTTGGTCGAGAGGAAAGAGGTTTTCTATATCTTACTGATTGAATATGTTGGGGTTTTAAATATGCATACAAGAGTATATAATTAGAAAATAAACATAGAATAATAGCCAAAATTTTGAGATATTAACAACTAATTTTTTCTAATATTATCTCCTTTCGACCTATTATGCTAACACTACTAAATAAACCAACATTCTCCCTCAAGTTAGGGCATATACTGTATTAGCTTCAACTTATTGCATAAATACAAAAATGTAATTGTCATAGAGCTTTGGTAAATATATCTGAGCTCTTTTTTTGAATTGGAGACATAAGCAGTAACAATTTTCTTAGAAAGCATAGCATTTTGTATGAAATCAAAATATATTTCAATATGTTTATTTCTTCATGAAAAGTATAATTATTGGCTATATGGATGATGCAACTGTCACAATATAGAGTTGTAGGTTGAGTAAAAGGAAAATCAGACTCCTCTAAAGTAGTTTTAACCTACATCATCTTCACACATACTAACTCACAGTGGAGAAGCCTGAAATTTTTAAAGGGGGGTCCAACTTTAACCTTTATTCAGTTGATTTTTATATTCATATTTAATTAATCACTTTATTGTTTATATGTATTATGAAAAATCAATATACTCTATGAAGATATGCTTGTAAATTTCATTTGAGTTTTTTTTTAGAAAACCGCTTGCAGGAAGCTTCCGACACGGACTTTTCTAAATTTCGCGGGTAAGGAGGGGGTGGGGTCACGTGCGCCCCCCTTCTGACTCATACCCCTATATCAACTTCAACAATTGATCTGTCAATAGCTTTTCCAGGTGACCAAATTTCGCCCAACAAATTAATGTTGACTTTTGTTTTCAACTGAACATCATAATTGACATTGACAATCTTATAAAAGGTGGAGGCATAAAGAGAGACATTTTGCCTATCAAAAGACCAAGGAGCATAAGCCTTGAGGCAAGGGGCGTAAGCCCGTGATTTTATATTTTAGTATCTCATAAATAGTTAATATGATACAAATTAAATATAAACAAAACCTAAAATAAATTCATAATTCCAAATTATATAACAATATGGTTTATCTAATTCCAAGGTTTAATCTGTGAAAACATATAAAATCAAATAAAATTAGACGTCCAAATGAAACAAGACAAATGGCAAGTCATCGAGATGAGTGTTGAGTTAGTAAGGGAAATGAAGAGTATTGAAAGAGTCTATGGAAACGCTAGCGGAAATCTAGAAATAGGCTACTTGAGAAAGAAAACGGAAAGTCAAGCTTACGACTTCGATGATTATACATGCTTATGAGAGAGGAATAAATTTAATTGCTCGAGTCTTAAGATATTAAAAAAAAAAATCGATCTTCTCATTCATTTTTTTATCTAATTAGATAAGAAAGTTGTTTATATGATAAAATTTAGTTATTTGATAATTTAATGGAATATTAAGTTAAGTTTTATGATATACAACACAGACACGACATGGACACGAGACACGTCAGTTATTGAAAATATATGACACAAATACAATATTATAATTTTTATGTCCTAAAATAATATATTGAAATTAAATAAGTAGAATATTAAGAATAATTGAGAATTAATAAGTCATTTAACTAAGATCTATGCTTAAAATAATTAATATTAGGATGTTGAGATTCTAGCGTGAATGTCATGCCATGTATCGAGAGGGGAGAAGAAAATATTGTCGAGTTTCAGACATCGATGTTGTGCAATGGGAATTGGGCATTGATGTCGAGATAACATCAGCTCTCGATGTTGAGACGACATTAGTCGTGAATGTTGAGATGTCGTTGGATAAAGATGAGACGTCGAGATGACGCGGGGGCGTGATTGTGAGTGTAGAAATTGCTAGCATTAAGCATGCATGTAAAGACATCATCATACTCTGATGCTGATATAATTTTAAAATATTGATGTTGCAATAGCGTTAGACATCGATATTGAGATAACATCGTGCGTTGTTGTGAAGCCTCAATTGTAAGTTGTTAGAAAGAAATGAAAATGAGAATGTTCGGGGAATGATCTATTGAGTATGGGCAATTGATTTGGGGCTGTGGAGAGGAGAAAAGAAATTTAATTATTTATATTTTTAAAAAATAAAAAATTCCAAGTACAAGAAATTATATTTTAGAAAAATTATTAAATATTAAAGACAGGCATGTCTAACACGCTTGTCCAATTTATTTTTAATATTTTTTAATCATACATGTTTTCGGTGTGTCGGGCAAGTGTCGCATTCGATACGTGTCGGATACTGCATTCCTCATTGAGGAGAAGTGTCGGTGCATCATAGGTTAAGTTATATCATGGGATATTGCCTTGGCAATAGGGTATAAAAGGAGGCCCTTAACGTCTTAGATGGTGCCTTGCTCTACAAAGCATACACAACAGAGGTAGAATGTCTTCATTGATTTCATCGAGGCCCTCACTTACGACGTGAGCCTCTAAAAATGTCTTTTACATCACCCGATATTATTGCATGCTTCAATATTAAGATGTTTAGATTTAGTAGATATAACCATCTTTTTTCTGTATATGTTTTGATATATTTGAGGATCTATAGAATAGCTTTCCAATGCTTTTTTTCCCTTTAGATTTTGCATGTGTTGACTAACCACTCTAATGTCAAATGAGATGTTTGACAGGGCAACAATCAAATAAATCAACTTACGTACTAACATCCAATTTTGAGATGGATTTTCAGAAGGTTCTTCATCATCATAGGTAGTCTAAGTCTTGTAGGGTATCAATTTCCTGATAGAAGCCTTAGAATTAGCAGAACAAAAGGTGAGTATATTATATACAATCTTATTTGATGTGATATTAAAATTATCAGACAATGGTATTGTAAGGTGATACATAAGTGTGCCAAGTTAAAATATTGTGGATCTATTATGCAAAAGAATGGAGATATGGATGATAATAAAACTTCTTGAGTTAAGAATGGATGATTAATGGAGAAGTGCATTGAAAGTTTTCTATAATAAAAGGACATCATCAAGGCTTATAGGTAAATTTTATAAAACTACAAGTGGACCAGTGATATTGTATGAGCCTGAATGTGGGGTTGTAAATTGATTATGGTAGAAATGAGAATGTTAAGGTTATTTTGTACAAAACTAGGATATATTAATAAATGATTATATGAGAGAAAATATTGGAGTGACTTCTAATGAAGAAAATTTGACTTATAAATTTGTGTGGCTTTAACATGCACATCAAATAATTAAAAATGTGACCATTAGACAAGTTGATAAAATTAATGCTAGAAAATTATGAAGGAAAATGGATAGACTTAAGGTTATATGGATAGAAGCTATTCCAAATAATTTATAAAGAATAGATTTATAGATTTTATACCTTAAAACAACACCCCAAATGATCTAATGAAAATGGTAATTCATTATGTTCACACCAAATAGTTGGGATAAAGCAAATGATGATGAGATTTTGCTTAGTATGGACTATATTTCAGTAGGTTTAAATTTAATGCTGTTTTATTATGGCCAAGGGATTTGACATTATGCTTAGGATCAAACTCTTTGAAGATCCAATGTTCTGGCTAGTTGAGGCGGCATGCGCTTGAACCCTTACCTATTCAATTAATAAGATAAGAATTAGCAGGGCACTATTGAATGTGAACATAAGAAAAATACCTTTTCTGTCTAAGGTGCTTTGCGCAAGTTACTCTGTTTTTTTTCTTTTTCAGACAGCTTGCTAAACATATGACATTCGGCACATGGTAAAAGGTACAAAGTAATGCAAAAATTAACCTGTTAGTTTTTATTATACGGTTTCTTTAATGTTAGCGCCCTTTTTAAGAAAGAAAATAACTTTGCATTTGGTGATTTCCTGGTTACCCTTTGCCAGTTTGCCTTAATAAGCATGCCTACAATAAGCAGATGTTTTAATATCCTTATTCACTCTCAAATAAGGGGTCCATAATATTCATGCTAATTGAAAGAGAAAGCAAAATTGTTTTATTCAAAGTTTCATTGCTATGTATCTATACATTTGGAATCTAGTCAACATTCAGGAAATTCCAACTTGGAGGTTAATCTTATTTATACAAGTTATGGCAGAAGAGAAAATATGGCTTTCTTTAAATTATTATTAGTTCTGTTGCTACTTAGGTGTTAATGGTAATTTCTTCTTACTGTTTCATGTGCTGTATCTCATTTGAATGTTTTGTTGCTCTATTCTATTGGTTGCAATAGTTATTCCTCTGGCAGTTCTCCCATAGAAGTAAACAGTCCTAGTTGTACTCCAATGATGAGTTTGATAACAATATGTTCTCCTTTATTGCTTCTGCTTGAAAGTGCCCGAATGGTCTCATTAATGAAGAAATCATGTTTGCAGAACTATTATTTGTTGTCATTTTAATGAAGTTGAAATACTAAGTGTGGTTTATATTTTGGCAGGATGTCATACAAAAACTTCGCTTCTGGAAAGTTATTGCTTCAATATTTACCTTCTCATCAACTCCAGAATTAATATTTGGACTTTATTTGCTATATTACTTCAGGTTATTTGAGAGGCAGATAGGTTCTAATAAATACTCGGTATGTTCTGTTGACTAAATTTCCCTGACAAGCATAAGGAATACACTGCAATTTTTTAATATTTTTTACGTTCCCATGATCTTGTTAAACATGGGATCACTCTCTCTCTGTTTGTTCATGGATTTGACATTCCAATAGAATCAGGGTACTAAATTCCGGATTTATATATCAAACTTTTTTGAAATTTTTTCTAAGTTTATACTCATAAATGGACAGGTCTTTGTTCTGTTCTCTTTGTTGGCATCATTGTTGTTTGAGATTCTAGCCTTGATGATTCTTAGAGGTATGCATTTAAAACTCTGATGCTCCCTATTTTATTCTGTATGGTGATTCTTTCTTAGAAAATCAATTGGTTGTTCTTTTATGGTATATTTGGTTAAAAGGAATCAAAGGGATCGCAAAGGTATATTACTTCAAAATTTCATATTTATTATTTGGTTTCAATGTAGTTTATCGATAATTAGATTTGTTTAGGACACGTGCACTTTTTTTAATTGGCATTTTCCTATCCAACAAGACTTAATTTTTTTTTAAACTACAATTTCTCCTCGTTCGAACAGTTAGGTGAAACTACTTTCCATGCAATTCCCTTACCATTTCCATTTTCATTTCTTTTTCTTTTCCTCTCTTTCAATTCCTTAAAACAAAATAGAGCATTAAAGACTGGATATATACCCAAAAAATTGATTTTGGAGCATGACAAGGTTTTAGTAAATTTGAGGTCACATTTTAAATTATAATTATGAGGTAAAACAAAAGGACACAACTGTAGGGCTTAGGGTTGTATGGCCTGGCTGTCACTTGTCTCACTGGTCTCACCTTAAGCTTACATGACATTCTTTGATTTAACCCGTAAAAATAGAAAGTTAACTTAATTAACTAGGTTCGGGAAAGAAGCTTGGAATGCAGGCACTCTTTTTCCATGGCTTTCCAAGAACTAAACCTACGTTGAAATGATTAAGAACCACAAGTTACATAATCCTTCTCTCTTCATCTTAGAACCATAATTAGTAGAACTCTCCTTACATGATTTAGATGTTCATACAAGGTTCATATTATTGAGGATTGCAGTAATGCTGTTCTATACTTTGATCACAAAATACATTCTTGTCTTGTCATAGAAATGGATTGATGTAATGAGAGCAGAGTTGTGGGGTGTGACAGAGAAATGGATTGAGGGAATAGGGTGAGAAGGCCTATGTGAAGAAGAGTTCGTGATGATTGCTGACTTGGTTGGTGCGAGGAGTGAGAGGCAGAGTTGTTGGACTGTTGGAGTCGATGGGAGCTGAAGGGTGTTGGGCATGTGGCAGTGTATGGTGGTCGATGGGATTTGGGTGGTCGACGGGCTGGAAGGTGTCATTGTGTGGGAGGGAGGGCAGAGAGTTTGCTAGGAATGGAGAAGGAGAGGTACTTTCGGGAGAATAGAATAAAAGATAGCAGCTGAGGAGAAACTAATGAGCCGAATTGATTTTGTATTTTTTTTGTTCTTATTTTGAGTAAGGCAGTGCAGTATATGTACAGGAGATGCATGGATTCCTAGATGGCAAAATGCATGGCTAAGAGAAATATAAGCGGTGGCATTTCATAGATAATGATGTGCTGTAAGGAATTATGTAAGTGCATGAAGAGCTGGCAATTTGGAGTGCACTTAACAGTGAAGTACAAGAGTTAGTGGATTTTTAAATAAGGTGGAATTTGCTACGCATTATTTAAGATAATGGAATTGAGACAAAGGTCTTTTTTATGATAATCAAATATAAATATAATGGATTATAAGCTTTAAAAGAAAAGTATCTTGTGATAATATTATGTGATGAGTGGAGTGGAAATATAGGTGAGTGTTATTTTGGAAATTGGTAAGTGTCCATCACTTAATTTAAAAGTAGTTGATTATGATAATAGATTTCATTTCAATTTCTTTCTATTATTATAATTTTAATCAAAATAATAATGTAAATCAATTTTTGTTTGTCTCAATTTGTGTGTCATCATCTCGCTTACGAACAAAATTTGTATTTCAAATTATGTTGCAACCCCAACAATAAAGGTGTCTTTTTCGAGTAATTTTAATGTTTTGGATGCACAAGTCTGCTTCATGAACAGGCGATGTTTGGGCTACATCATGTAATGTTATGTCCGTAGATCGTCTCTTATTGTCACTTGATTGTCTTGCATGCGAGCATTCCCTTCTTGATAAATTTGATGCTTTGAACATATTGATGTCGTTTGTTCCATAAACATACATTTTTGAGCAATTTTGGCTACTATCAAGGCATTTCAAGCTCGTTTCGCTCGTCGTCGCATCAATCGATCACTGTTGCATCGATTGATCTTTGTTCACGTCGCACTAGTTCAAATTGATCATGGAATATATATAGAGGTCAATAGTAACTCTAGGTCTTCTAAAGGATTTTTTGTAGTGATTTGAACAACACCATGTTTTTATAATGTCTTCAAATTATTTTAAATTGCCCTTGGATTTCTTTATTAATTTTGCTAACTTCTTCCTTTAATTGATAATTCCATGGCTGGTATATCCTAAACTTGGTCCAACATTAAAAAGATGTGAAATGTTCTAAAATCGTTCGATTTTATTATCTCCACATTTTGATGTTCTCTTCCCTAATGATGGTACGAAGAAAATCAATAACTTATTTTTTTATTATTCTCCTATCATGTTTAAAATCACATTGACCATTATTTCTAAAAGCAAAATCATTAGGTTTAAAACTAAGATTCAATGAACGATTCAAGGAAATGGTATTGATTGAAGTAGTTTCTCTATAAAGGGAATGGTATTAAAAGTATGGTTATGATATTAAAGCTCACTAGAAGATGTCTCAAAACTTAGAGGAAATTTTAATACATTATGTCATGAAGCTTTGAACTCCATGATTGCTAAACTTAATCTTATTAATGTCAAAGTTGAATTAGGTCTTTTCTTCACCTAGGAGCTTTAAAAGTATGAACATAGTAGACAAATGGAGGAAGAAATCTATTTGACACTGAAGTTTTAGGATCATCGGACTCGTTTAGGGCGATAATAATTCTTTTCATAAATTTGTCAATGAAAGAAATAAAATAAATCACATCAAGCTATTTTTGCTCTTAGTGGTTATTTGGTTGAATATTTTTAAAATACATGCATTTTAAAATGCAAGAATTATTTGGTTAGATGCAAATCAAATGCATTGAAATATATATATATATATATATATATATATTGTTTGTTATGATATATTTCAAGCATATTCATGGGTGGTGGGTGGTGGGTGGTGGAGGTAGGTGGGCAAGTGGGGCGGCGGCGGGTGACTACAAGAGGGAAAATGGTGATGGCACGTGGGAATCATGAGCAGGTGCAACATGGGATTTGAAAATCTCTCTATTTGGGTGATTTTTAAATACAAGGAAAATATAGATTTGGATTTTTCAAATCCCTCTAAAATTTACTTTCTATTTAGAGAAAATGACCAAAATGAGTTTCGTCAAGGACTGGTATTGTCAATGTTTTATCAAATCGGGCGTATTAACTCGGCAGTTATTGAATCGACGCTTTTTCATATTCGTTTGAGGCGGAGGCACGTATAAGCCCTCAACAATCAAAAGACTTGCGTAAATACCAATAATAATAACTCGTGATATTTTATATAATTTTTTATATACTAATGAATGAATTATATAAAACTAAAAAAGCAGCATAAGAATGAATGTAGAAATGCAAAATAATCGGGCGATAATCTAAGTTGATAGGCACCATGGGGAAATCATAGGATGTCGGGACTGCTTCAAATAATATCTATTCTTTCCTAAATGTGCCAAGTATTGCTGGGTTCATTAACACTAGTTACTATGTCCAGAATTTCCAAAAAATCAATATTTTAGCAATGATTGCATAGTCTAACATAAGAACTGGGCATGATTTCATTTGGTGAGACAAGGTATGGCGGAGAGTCATTGACTAAGGGGGTTTTTATTTTAATCATCTATTATGATGGAAGCACTGCTGTGGCTGTCTCTCTCCCTCTACTCTCTGAATAGGGAGTTCAATGTCGGGACATTTACTTCAAGATGTTATGTAAGTTGTTAATATATGATATCGTAGGCGTAAGCCTCATGCCAGTGAGGCGAGGCGGGCCTCAATTCGGACGGCCTCAACCTTAAGTGAGCGTCAAGCCTCTATAATAAAAAACTCGAGAGTCGTGAAGCATCGAGGCGTTTTAACTGGAATTGCTCAAAGGCAGGCCTCAAGGCGAGCCTCATATTGCGCAATTTTAAATCCATGAACTGTAAGTGGGACCGAACATAAACAGTCACGTCGCTATTTAGTTTGAGGAACCTCTTTACGAGGGCTATTATTTTTTTTTTTATAATACATTCAATGTGAGTTAATGTGTTGAGAGACTGCTAAGTGTATTTTTTGTTATTTTTATTATAATTACATTATTATTGATTGATAATTATCGTAAAAAATTATTAGATGTTTTCATAAAAAACGATGAATAATTTTACTTTTAATTATATAGTTAATCCAGGTAAAATATTAACATAAGTTAAATTGATTTTATTTGCACTTAAGAGAAACCTAAATGCAATAGGACTGCTATTTTCAATCTTTTAGTCAACAAGTTTGTTTTAGCCAATCATATTTTATAAATATGACTAATTTTTTGAGAATTAAGGCTATAAATTTAATTATTTAAGTGTTTTTTATTAGAAACGAATGTTGTACTTAATTGTGGCTCTGCCGGAGTTTAGTGGTGGCGGTTCTCTGTTTGCAGCTGCTTTTTAGAAAAGTTATAATTACTTGAAAACTATAATTTAATAAAAATTTAATTAAAAAATATTAAAATACTCTTACATTTAACACCATTAACTCCAATATTGAATGTTAGGGCAAAAAAATGCCCCATTTTAGAGAGTTGAGTGACTGGTCCCTCAAAAGAGTTCGGGATCATTTTGGTTTCTCAAAAAGAGTTGATGGATCATTTTGATCATTTTCTTTTTCTATTTATTTTACTCTATTAGAGCATCTAAATCTCCTGGGCAAGATGGCCTCTCAGTCTTGCTCTTTCAAGAAATGCGGGTAACTCTTGATTTTGATTTTATGCTCAAGTTTGAAGGCATCTTCTTGAGTAAGGCCTCTTTCGCTAGTCCTCTTTCAGCTGTGTCGCTTGCTGAATTATTGCTGCTCATAAACTCATCAATTCCTCTATTAAAAGTAAGCAAGAGTGTTTCATCTTAAGGGTTGATTTTGAAAAAGATTTTTTGATGAGTGCAATTGGGATTTTATAATAGATACTTTGGTAAATTAGGGAATCTAAAATTAGAAATTTTAGGGTTGCTGGTTCAGATTACTTGCTTCCACTGAACAAAAATAGCACTCTTGTCCAGTTATCTGCACCACACCACACTTCAGGGCACGATTTAAAGATGCATTTAATACATTCCATTTTTTACTGAGTTGCAGGTATATATTGGCTTGACCTATATGAAAATGACTTAAATGCGATGAATATAACCTTTTTTGTGATCTCCTTCACTCATTGACTTTAGTTGACTATAAAGAAATGTTCCAAAATTTTTCAGAATTTGTCTCGTATTTACAGGATCCTTGAAATAACCAATATGCAAACTTTTAGAATATAGAATCAGGGCTATTTTCAATGCATTTAAAGTCTCATCAGGGGAATTATGTGGCTGATTACTATTTTTTTATCTGAACAAATCTTTTATTATTTTATCTCTCTATTACAGATTTGCAAACCTCTAGTTTCGAGATCCATTGTGTATAAGTGTAGTTTTACTATATTTATTTATTTACTAACCTGAACAAATCTATTATATTTTAGATCTCCATTAGAAATTTTCTAACCTTTCGTTTGGAGATCCAATGTGTACAACTCTAGGTTTATTGTATTTATTTCTTTGCTAATGATCCAGTTTCAGTTTTGTTTTGAGTTTGTGAATGCTTGCTAAGGTTTTTTGAGCAGGCTTGTTTGTGGTGATTGGAAGTTTAGTTGCTGGCTTCCTTGCTCAGTCTGTTACTTCTAAATTGAGATTTCATTAGCTGCAATATTCTAACATGGGTTGAGTTGGACATGTTGGGGATTTTGCTAAGATCTAATTTCATATGATACCTCAAAATTTTGGGGCAATATTGACTCAATTTATTGATTTAAGGTGAAGTAATAATTTGCCTAGAAAGCATTGGCTGATTATCGAAAATAATTAATAAAATAAGAAAGAAAAAAAAGTGAAGTAATAGTTCTTTTTTTCCTGTAAATCTTGATAGGCTCCACTGGAGTCCAAATGGGACAAAAAATAGATTTTGTTTAGATAGATCCAAATTTTTGAGGTGAAGAAAGAGATGGACACTTGTATATAATATGGATTTCCTTGATTTTTTATTTCGTGAAGATGTGGAGACAGATGAGAGAAGCAATGAGGAGGATATGAAAGAGAAAGAAGAGGGAGTAATAGAAGAAAGGATAAGGGTGCAAAAAGAGTTTGTGCAAGGAAGGTGAGTAATAGGAATAAAGGAATGTCAAAGAACAATGAGAATTTGTTGGAAAAAAGGTGGAGAAATGTAATTGGGCCAATTAACAAACTTATAGAAAGATTATTTTGCTTTGAAACATGTAAACTATTAGTACAATTCTGAATTTTTAGGAAGAATAATTTTTAGGCCGTGAAGGATTGGCTTTTCTCATTGTCCCTCAATTTTCGAAGGATTACTTTTTTTTTTGGTGATAATGTTTTAGAACTTTTTTTAAATAATGTTGGTTTTGTACTCTTATGATCTATTTGACATAGAAAATATTATTAAAGCTTTCTTGTTATCTTTGCCACCTAGGCCAAGTGCTAATGGTGATGTGGAATTGGTTTTCCTCATTGTTTGTCAATTTCCGGGGGTCACTAGCATTCTTGGGTGATATGTGATAGCATGTTATTTTTCTTGAATAATGTGGTATTTGTACTATGATACTACCTATTTTGTTTTACCTACAAGCATGTGCGAACAATATTATTAAAGCAAAGCGCCTTGGTGTCTTTGGCACCTAGACCATGCGCTGGAATACAAAGAACCCCTCTCTGGTGCTTAAACCCAAACGACCGGCAGTAATCTTCTTAAGTAGAGATATTGTTTTATGGTTTTTTATTGGTCTTCCTTTTGATGTTTATGTTACAAAAAGGTATGTTTTTTTTATGTTTTATATCAATAGCTACAAATCCCTACAAACACATTTGAATTCTCCAATGAAAAAGTATTAGGTGAAGTACTGGTTTTCCAGGATTTTTGGTGTCATAATTTGCCTAGGCGAGGTTGAAATTACAGCCAATAGCACTTACGGTTTATTTCTTTCTTTTTTTCTTTTGCCTAGCAGATGGGGAGCCTGGTTTTTCTATGCACCATCTGCTTCCTTGGTTTTTTAACTAATTTAATTTTATTATCAAGCTTTGTTGGACTTGTCTTTTCTCAGTTGGTGAATTCCTTTCCCGTTTATTTCTTCCACCAACCTTTGATTTCCCTCCCTTTGAATCTTTATTGTAGGCTATACGGAGTTAGAACAAAGCTACAGAAAAAGTAAAGAAAGAGAGAATTGGGCGCTAGAGGGGGAGGATAATTTGGAACTCTTTTGTGAAAGGTGAATGATTTGCCTCTCATGCTTGGAGATATAGGATTTGATGTCTACTGGTGTTTATTCTATTTATGTTCTCCACCATTCCTTTTGGTTGGCATTCTTCTGGAAACCATGTGGTTGTGGTTGTCTAGCACTTAAGCGTTAACTAAGAATAAATAGTATAAGTTTATGAATAGATGATGGACATCCTTTTATTTCCATTTATTTGATGAACTTCTAATTTCTTCGTGCGTAGAAGTTAATTTTTTTTCTCTTTTCATCCAAATTTTATTCTTTATTATTGTGTAGTATGGAAATTAAATAAGTGGATAATTTTGCAAGAATTCCCTAATTTCTATGCTGACGTCAATATTTTGTGATTAATAGTACCTTATCAATCTATATTTTCCTTTTGCAGATCAAACCTCAATTGTTCTGGTTTCTGGCCCTTACAGTCTCATTTTTTCCTCCTTTATACCATTTTATTTTGATATTCCAGTTTCATCAAGGCTTCGTATATTTGGCATTTCCTTCTCTGACAAGTCATTCATATATATGGCTGGCCTTCAGGTTAATGCTGTTCTGTTAACATATCTGTTTATGATTTACTTCTCTCTTTAAGTACATGTACCTCATCTCTTTGGTACTGTTATCTTTAGCTTCTTTTGTCATCCTGGAAACGGTCCTTAGTACCTGGTATATGCGGTATTTTTTCTGGTTCATTGTATCGTCTCAATGCATTTGGAGTCCGCAGTATAAAGGTATGTGCTTAATGGCGCTTCTTTTCATTCCTTTAATTGGTGTCCTCATTAACTTGTATATTTAAATTATACTATTGCACATTCAAGATTGCCATCAGCTTGCTGGATCCTAATATGCTTCATGCCACAAGACAAGGGTTTTACTGGGTTTCTTAATGTAGTATGACTGTCAAGAAGCTCTGTTTGATCTGTTTTTTTTCTTTTTTAACTATTTCATAGTAATTTCTTGCTGTATTTGAGCTCTTCGTTTTATTTGATCTTTTTATTTCGAAAATGTGTAGTTCGCTTTTCTTCCGTGATGGAATTCAATAGAGGTTGATATATGGATGAGTACTCCCTAATGAAAGAAAATTTATGTACCACCTACCAGCATTGTTATGCATGAGTATATATGGCATGCTCTCATTCAAGATCAATGGCCATACAACAACAATAATATCATCAAGCCTTTATCCCACTACGCAGATCATTTTTCTCCATTGTGTGCTGTTTATAGCCTAAAAATGGCCCTATAGTCTGAAAATCTATTTATTAAGGCCACCAGGTATTTTTGTACTTGCCAAGACCAATATGAAGCAATGTTATTTAGAAGTATAAATTAGTTTTAAAATGATATGCAGTTGGTTAACACTGACAATTTTTAAGAAATTGTTGGTGATTTATAAGTTTTTCATGAACTTTTAATATTATTGTTTCAGCATTCAATGTGTCAGGCCTTATTATGAATTATTGTTTGTGTCCTTGTTCCTGATGATATTATTTGATTGTCCTCCAGTTTCCACACATCATTGCGCAATTTTTCTCACGGCTATCATGGTCTACTCCTGGAAGCTTACCTCTGAGGGGTGATAACGTTACAAGTGTCTCAGCTCATGCCAATCGTCATTTGGAGGTAAGGCTTGTAACTTGTTTAGGGTAGTCTAGTTTTGTAATTTATTTTGCATTCTATACATAGAATGAGCCTATCACTGCGTCTTGTCAGTCATAGTCTAATCAGCAATCTAGCATGGTTCTTTTTTCGCAGCAAAGCAACCTAAGCTACCACTCTTGATTTAGCAGCCTGACCAGTATAAAACCTGCTTAAATTCATAAGAAAAAGCCGCGAGAATTTTGAAGAATCACTGATTAAATTAGCTCAGGCAAGAATTTGGAAATGATCAGAGACACTATTGTTGATTGTGATGTGGTAAATGTTAGAAATGAGGATTTGAGAAAAATAAGAGAGAAAAGCTTGAATTTTATTATACACTACAATCTCTATTTATAGATCTATACATGATATTTAATAAGAAAACAAATAACTGCATAATAATGAAATATAACTCCTCCTAAATCAGTTGTCCATCTATGAAAAGTGCTCAACGTGATTAAGTCGGGCTTCTCACGGATCCCTCTTTGTAGCCGTGGGATTATTATGAGAATGAGAGACTGAGATTTAACAGTAAACATTCATATTACAGAAACCAGTGGAGAACCTTTTATTCTTTTGATTGGAGGCTCTAATTAGCAAGAAAAATAATAGTTGACCGACCAACACCATACATTGTGGTAGGAAAAGTGAAACCTCTTGATGACATTTTATATGCCAAAAATGGAAATTCCAAGGTTCTCATCATGCCATGCAAATTAAATTCATGGTTTTGTATCATATATTTATTATAACTTGCTAATGATGATCAATTTAACTTTGAAAACCTTGTTCAGACAACATTCGCATGACAATTTTAATACAGAAAACTAAGTGCATTTTGAATTACTTGGCATTGTTGCTTCCCCAGAAAGTGTGTAGTAGGAAGAAATGCTGGGTTGCAAAATCCTTTTCTGATCTCTTAATCTTATTTGGATCCAGAGAAACTTTGGTTCTTCAGTCTCATCAGTCCCAGAACCTACTGAGTCTTCTGTTGCTACATTAGTATCAATGGGTTTCGACGATAATTCTGCGAGGCTCGCACTCGTGCGGGCTAGGAATGACATCAATGTCGCAACGAACTTCCTCATTGAAGCTCAGTCACACTAAGGGACGCCGTAAATATAATTCCATGGAAAATATAGAATTCAGTCGGAGCAGTTCCCAGCATAATCGCTGTGTTACTGGCTTTGCTTTCTTAAGACCTGAAAAATCATTCCTTATGAGAAGATCCACTGGTATCACACACAAACACACAAGGTTTTGGTGCCCTTTATCATCCCTTGATTTTCAAATGTCATAATGGATGTTGATGCTTTGCTACAATATGATTGTCTTCATTGAGATGTTAATGACAATGTTAAAACTCGTATTCATGATCAAATATTCTCACAATGATTCGTCTTTAGATTTTTGATGCTTTTGGATTCGTTTGGGATAGCTTTCATAATGCTTCTTAAAATGACTTTCTAGTATAAATTTTTCTCATTCATGAAATTTTTATATTGAAAGCTGTTTTAGAAAGAAAGAAGAAAGCTGTTCCAAACGAAGCCTTTTATCTATTTTTTGCAATATCTAATTGATACCATGCAGCATGCACTGATACAGTCTTTAACATTGCTTATACATAAGAGATTTAGGGCCGAAGAGTATAATGCTGCTGCTAATTGGATTCTTCTTTTGACGACTAATAGGCTGATTGGCTGAGCGTAGGTTAAAGTTATGTTTGTGATTGCCTCCGTTTTAGGAAGCCATGTATTGCATGATAACATTTAGGTTTGTTTCGGATGATTTTTTTTATTGCTTCTTAAAATAATTTTTTAGTATAAAAATTAAAAATTTTTTACTATAAAACTACTTTTAGAAACAATAATAAAATTGTCTCAAATGAAGACTTTGGTTTTATTTGTGATGAAATTTTTATTGCTTAAAGCAATTTTTTATATAAAAGATAAAATTTTTTAACTAAAAAATAACTTTAAGAAGCTGTAAGAAAGTTGCCTCAAATTAGGGGTGTCAATATTGGATCCGACCTAAAAATTTCAGGTTTGGGTTGACCCGAATCCGAAAAGGATTAGGTTCAACAATTCGAACCCTTTTAAAAATCGGGCTGGGTTCATGTTGACCCGTTGACACGAAATTGACCCATTTTTTACCCGACAACTTGAGATTGATCCGTTTTTTACCTAAAATTAGAGATTTACTCATTTTTTAACCTAAGAACTAGCGGTTTTTTGTTTGCACTTGGTCATTCGGGTCGGGTCAGGTTGACCTGAATCCGAAGCGGGTTGTGTTTGGGTTTGAAAAATCGATTCGTTTGCAAAAATAGATCGGGTGGGGTTGACTCGAATAGTGCTGGATCAGTTTTGGGTTCGACTCGAATCCAACCCGGGACCCGAAATTGACACCCCTACCTCAAATGAAGCCTTAGTTGAATACTAGTAAATCATGTGTGCTATGCATACGAGCAAAGTTTATAATTGATTTTAAATAAAGTGACTAAAAAAGTGTTTATTTAATATTTCAAAATAATATAGTAAGTTTTTAAATACGGAAATAATTTAGAGAAATTTGTCGTAACTAGGTTAATACATTTGTTATTTTTTCTTGGAGAAATATGACAATTATTTTAATGAGAGAATTTTTTATTTTTGTGAATGTTTTATTGAAGTTGAAGTTTGTTGAGATTTTTCCAACTTGGGAACTTATGTGTAAAGAAAAGTTTGAACCTGGTTCAAATCTTAGGGCTAGTTATGGATGCATTACTTTTGTAAAACTATTTTTTTAGAACTCCATTATTTTGTTGATTTGAGAAGCTCTTTATTTTTTGCTTTTCAGCTCGTAACCTTTGTTCTTAGAAAATGCATGTCAGAAATACCCTCTGAACTTTCCCAGAATGAAGTCAGGGGTGATAGAGAAATTTTGTTCACTGTTTTGACATCTTGAGAGAGAAACCAAGAGGAGGAAGAGAGGCAAGTCTCGAGTTGGAATGTCAGAATACATTAAAATAGTTCCGTTTGTCATCTCATCATTGGAGCCAAGAGGAGGTGTAAGATCAAAATTAAGAATGCAAATAACATGTCTCTTAGAGCTTATAAGACATAAATATTTTCCCCGAGTGATCTCCGTTTGAGGGTGAGAGAGGAGCGAAAGGGAAAACAAAAATTGTGCTTGAGGTCATAAGTCTCGAGTTGCAAGAGATGAGCTAAAGGGAAAACGAAGCAGGCCGTTTGAGTCGAGGGAAAGCAAGCCGCTCAAGGTGGTGACCTTGAATTTCAATTGCGCTAGAGTTTTTTCCATATGGTATTCTTTGTACTGACGTTGAATTTCAAAATTAAAACCATGGCTCAGTAGATGCTCAAATAACATTGTGGTCAACAAATACTTCAATAAAGATCAATTAATACAACAAATAACATTAAGATAGTGAAGAAATGAAAGCCAGATTCAGAAATCATATAATCATGAAAACAAACCTGCTTAGCATATGAATTTTACAAGTGATTTAATTTTCATTCTTTTAATGAAATAAATCAAACCCAATAAGTTCACTACTTAAAAAGCTTAAGATATTAAGAAGCATTAAAATTCAATTTTTGGCTGCAAAATAATGCACTTAAACGGATTTTATTTGAAACAACTTTTTTTATTATTTTTTAAAGTAGTTTTTTTGTGTAAAATTTTATTGAATTTTTTTTTGTTGACACCTTATAAAATAATGCTTTATGAAATTCTTACATGTATAATTTTATTGATTATGAGAATGTTCATGACAATCAAATAAAAATAATGATAAAAGAGAAATCACGAAGTACATAAATAAAAGAAATCTAAAGTTCTATCAGTAACTTTATTTTTTATGATTAATATTGAAGGCCTGAACTTCAGTTACTACACTAAAAACTCAATTTTCAGGTGTTGGAATTTTTTGGTGGATAAAAGATTACCCTCCCCATTAACTGTATTTGCAGAGAAAGGCAAAAAAGATTAGACATTAAAACCAAAATTCGAGAGACAAACTCATATAGACATCACATATACAAGACTCGGATCTAAGACCTTTTAGTTGATAGTCAAAATTTTCAACCAACAGAACAGAAAGAGTTGCGTAGCATATCTCAAATTACTCCAAACAAATCAAAGCCTAAAAAATCATAAAATATTATGAATGTCTATTAATTACATTTAACAAACTTCCTAAAGTGCCCACAAAAGTTCACCCAACTATTCACCCCTACAATGCACAACATAAATACAATCTTGATCAAATAAATGTGACAAAACAAACAAATATATGCTTCAGAAAAATTATTACAGGATACCATCAAATTTTAATTAGAATGAATATTAAAATTTATAAATTTATTATAAGATTAATGCAATATATGAATAATTAATAAATTCTTACATTGCACTCATCTTAAAATAAAGCTAAAAATTTATACTCATTCTAATCAGATTTTGATGGGATATTCTCACCCAAAATTTGTTCACATAGTATCCTCTACCCTTCTCTGAATCAGAACTGCAAATCTGGAGAAAATAAGGGACCTGATGCTCTTAGCTGGTAGAAAATAGGATAGATATTTGAAGTCATACTCCTTCCATAGTATAGACAGGAATCTGCCAATTCTTTGTGTTCTTTTTTGGATCATCTGTAAGGCTGAGATCGCCTTCAAACTCTTTAAATGTCTTGATGAAGGTTCTAGCACCACCCAAGATCAACCTCTCTACCATGAAGAGCTGGTAATTGTTCTCGATTACTGGATCCAAAATGCTGCTATAGTCTGATGAGCTCACTACCTTGTACCTAAACAGTTTTTTTGGTAAAGAAATAACACGCTAAAAATTGATCATTTAATTTAGATGGACAGTATTGCAGCAGCATATAAGAAGTTTTTTTCTTATTTTTAAATGTTTTGAAATTGGACCTTTGATGTCGTGAGACAAGAGGTGATGAACATGAAAAAGAAAAGAGTCGGTATAAAAGCTAGAAAAACAGTGTTTCCAAAATGGTACTCAAAAGAGCTGATATATACACAAACCAAATGTTTTTAACTAGTTCAAAGTGAATTCCAAGCCATTTCCTGCAACAAGCTGAGCTTGTTACCTTAAAAAATGGATACTAAAAATCGACAGCCTGTTCCTAAACACCAGCAAGGCACATCTAGATCACTAAGGCCTCATCTGGGATGACTTTCTTAATGCTTTTTAAAGCAGTTTTTAGTAAAAAAAATTAATTTTTATACTAGAAAAAGTTGTTTTAAGAAGCATGAAGAAAGCCGTCCCAAACAACGCCTAAGACTTAGTTGTTAACATTAGTTTTTAGTATCTCAAACCATGGATAGATGGATCCAAAATAATACCATATGATAAATTCAGATGATAATATTCTGATAATTTCATAATATTATTAAATATCCTTTCAATTTAATATGCATTGCCAAAATTGAATAATTTCACCCAACATGATTAAAAAATATTTTATCAGTTCAAAATGATGAAATTTCAACATACCAAAATGACTCTTATGTCTTCATTATACTTATTTGGTCCTGTATTTCTAAATTTTTCTTTCACTTTTTATTAAAATTATCCTGTTAATTACATATCAGCCGCTTAATATTTACATATTTTGTTATAAAAGTAACTGTAAATACATAATGCTTATTTAATCATATATAACTGAGAAATGATATTTGCTCGATTTCGGTGTTCAGGGTATGTACACAAAATGCATAACGTATATAAGCTAACATAAATTGATGTTTAAGCATTCTTCAAAAATTAAATTCTTCCACGGAAGAATATAAGCACACTTATAATAAAAAAATTTATGTAGATTATAACTCAAAACTTATTTAAAAATATATATATATATTATTCTTCCTAATGATGCTCGTATCACTTAATTAATCTTAATTTAAGCTCCATAAATTTGCCACCTTAAAAAAAAAAAAGCTTTAGGATAACTGATTAAATGGCCATGCAATGTTACTTAAAATGGGCTGACATTTAAAATTAATTGGCCAGTGAAGACAGCAATTTGTGGAATGTTGCAAGCAAGATACAGAAAGGATTTTTGGTATAGATTCTTGCATTTTGATCGAACAACAGTGGCAAAAAATAAGACATCTGAGCATACCTGGAAGAGAGAGGTGAAAAGAATCCAGGTGTCCTTTCATTTGAAGCTATGAATATGGTGCGACCTGGTGGGATCCATTTTGCTATTCTGAGTTGAATAAATTCAGGACGAGTATCCCTATCAAGATGGGGATGTAGGGTTCGATAAACTCCAAATCGGTCTTTCCTAGTCTTCATCTTGTCACCTCGCCTCACATGAATAGAATCATAATCACCTAGCAGATCCTTAATCTGAATGGAAAGGGTTTGATAAAAAATTAAACAATGTAAGAGGCACAAAATGATGCAATGCGGAGGATGATGTGGTATATTTAAACATTTTCAAGGTCAAGTTAGATATCCATTCATAACTTTGCATACATATTTGCTCCCATTTCTGCACAGGAGAGTGATGGAAAAGGAGCAAAAACGAACTTTGCACATTCACCAGAAACAATAAAGGTAAAGGCTACATGCAGCAATCAAGTGCATCGTTCGGATTACAGATTCATTTAGTTCTTTTCAACTATTAGGTCTGAAAAGTAAACTAGCAGCACCAATATTCCATGAAGTTATGAAATAACTTTTACAGCATAATTATTAATGAAAACCATTTTGGATGATTTTCAGTAAATGAGATTACTTTTAGGATTTGAGAAAAAAATTCGAAGCTGTTTTCTTTTTTGCAAGCTTTCACTAAAAAGTTACATTCCTCTGACATTTAGGCTTTATTTGGAACGGCTTTATACTGTTTTTTAAAATAATTTTTTAATATAAATTTTTTTATTTTTTTTGCTAAAAAGCTGCTTTAAGAAGCAGTAAGAAAGTCATCCCAAACGAAGCCTTAGTGATTGTTGAAAATGAAAATGCCTATACCTTTCTTGCTGCGTCTCTTAACTTTGGTGCCGCGCTTGTAGGAAGAAATGAATATGGTAACATGACTGAACTATGATTTGTTCGGTCCTTGCACTCCATAAACCTGGATGATTATCATGATCAAGTCTAGCGCTTGAATTTTCAAATGTCACCTAGAAAACAATTCGTGCATATTGCACCGACTGATACTTTTGAGAGAGTTGTGATGATAATATGCAAATGCAGGAAAATTTTGTAGTTAGTTAACACGAAAGAAACTAATTATTTACCATGAAAGCGGATTTGCAGTGCGGTTTATTAGTAAAACGTTCGAGTAAAGGTTACTGTCTCTGAGATCAGTCCTACTAGTTCCCTCCACTTGGGCCACACCTCTGTTTCCCAACTTCATACTTGTTGATACTACACGATACCACATCTTGGAATTGTCAAGTATTACTGGTATAGTTTTGGAAATGAGATTCAGATCATACAAAGAGTCCATCGTACAAGAACTTGCTGCCCATCTACAAGCAAATGAAATGACTTGAAGTTAAAAGGATTTAATGAGATTAAAATGCTAACAACACTCCGCAAAACAGTTTTTGAATCGTAAAGTGCAGATATATATATATATATAGTTGAGGATTACTATCAGGAAGCTAAGAACTATGCAAAAAGGGAAATCAGCTAAGCAAAAGTGCCAATTTGATTTTTTATAGATTAGGTACAAAGGAAAGTGAAAAGAAGATATAGTAAATAACTAAAATATAAGATAGGAAATCTAAATAATTCGATTAAGCTAGAATAATTAGAAATGAAGATGATATCTTAGTTAAAAGATGAACACATTAAAATAAGATAAAAATGTTACTTCGAGAAATGATTTAAATAAGTGTGAAGGAAGAAACCTTTGTCAAAAAGCATAGTGAATAGAATAAGTAGTTATTTAATAGATTAATACAAAAAATATGAAATGGTGTCAACTTAAATATGCATAAAAATAAAGAATTACGTTAATATAAAATATCTATTAAATTTGAAGAGTTTGGGTGACATTAGAATAATTTGCTAAATAAATATTTCAAGAATATCTTGAAGAATTAAAAAATGCTAAATGAAGAGAGAAGAATTATTTTGATATAAATATTTAAAAATTAAGGACATCATCAGTACTTAAAAAAATGGATATAGTACAACACAGATTGATTATTTTTTTATAAGAAAAATAGATCGTTTAGATTGTAAAGATTGAAAAGTTATTCCAAGTAAAAGTTTATGTACTCAACATCGCTTATTAGTTTTGAAGTTTAAAATAAATAGGTAGAATATGAAAAAAAAATGTTATCCTCGAATTAGATGGGGACATTTAAAAAATACTAATACAAATATTTTTTAGAATAAGATTCAAGATCTTAAGATTTTTAATTATACATTAGGAAGTTAATGCTATGTGAAAAAAGTAACCAATGATATTAAGAATAGTATAAAGGATGTGCTTAGAGTATCAAAAGAAAAAGCCCCTAATAGTAAAAAAAGTTGATGGTGAAAACAAAATATGCAAGAAAATATTAAAAATAAAAAGCTTTCTTATAAAAATTGATTTGGATATAAAGCTTGAAAAATTGGGAAAGATATAAAGAGCCTCTAAAGAATCTAAGGAAGCAATATGCGAGATTTTTCGATAAGCTTTTCAATAAAGATTACGAAAATACAATTGACTTTAGTAACCTCAACATCATAAATAAAAATAGAGATTTTTATTTTTATTGTTGCATTAGTAAAACCGAAGTTAGAGAGACCTTCAAGAAATGAAGTGTGGAAAAACAATTGGACCTACTGATATTCCAATAAATGTGTGAAAATGCTTAGGAGATGATGAAGTTTCTTAGCTTACAAAACTTTTTAATATTATTTTGAAGATTAAAAAGATGTCAAATGAGTGAAAAAGAAGTGTATTGATTCATATTTATAAGAATAAAAGTGATGCACAAGCGTGTGGGAATTATATAAGAACTAAGTTAATGTGTCATACTTTAAAGCTATGGGAGAGAGTTATTGAGCATAGGTTACGACGTGATGCTAATGTATCTCAAAATCAATTTGGATTCATATCGGGTTGGTCTACAATGGAAGCTATATATTTATTGAAAAGTTTAATAGAGAAGTATAAAGAGAATAAAATGCATCTACATATAATATTTATTGATTAAGAGAAAGTATATGATAAAGTTCCAAGAGAAATGCTATGGAGAGTTCTAAAAAAAAAAAAAAAGAGTTAATAATGTTTATATTCAAGTCATTAAAGATGTGCATGTATGAGTTGTTATTTGTGTTCAAGCATAATATGGTTTGACCAAATATTTTCATATGTAAGTTGGATTGCATCTAGGATCAGCTTAAAGCCCATATCTTTTTGCATGAGTCATGGATGTTATTGGCAGACATTTGCAAGAGGATATACCTTGGTGTATGCTTGTTGCTGATGATATTCTTCTTGTTGATAAGACTAGAGGAAGTTGAAGGTAAACTTGAATTGTGGAGGTCAACTTTAGAGTCTAAAGCTTTTCATCTAAGTAAATATAAAACTGAATACATTGAGTGTAATTTTAATAGTAATAAATCTAGTGGGGGATTGTGACTTTGGGTGATCAAGTCATTAATAAGAATACACATTTTAAATATATTGGGTCTATTGTTCAAAGAGATGGTGAAATAGATGACGATATTAATAGTAGAATTTAAGTTGGATGGTTGAAGTGGAGAAATGCATCGGCCTGTTGTGTGATAGAAAAGTACCCCTAAAACTTAAAGAAAAAATCTATAAGATGGTGGTGAGACCTGCAATGCTTTACAGTGCATAATGTTAGTCATTAAAAAAGAAGCATAAAGTTAAGTGTTGCAGAGATGAGGATGCTCAGGTGGATGGGTAGCTTCAATCTTAGAGACAGAATGTGAAATGAGTGTATACGTGAAAAAGTTGGAATAGCTCCAGTGGCAGATAAGATTAGAGAGAGTCGTCTTAGATAGTTTGACACATAAAATATTGGTCTTTAGATGATCCAATTAGGAGAGTAGATGTATTAGATTTGGCCTATGTTAAGAAAGATAGAGGTAGACCAAAAAAAATATGGCTAAAAAATATTAGAAATAATATTTTTTATTAGATCTTTTCTCAAAGAAAAATATTAAATATCTTATAAGAACACCCAACAGTTTAACAAAAGCTCATCTTTTCCAGGTGATGTGCAAAATAGCTTGGATTTATGCCTTTTGCTTGAAAATGTCAATTATAATTAGAGCATACAGCCATAAACTAGTGTTCTTCAGTAGAAATTTTTTTCATTCTAGCTATGAATACGCTAGCAGCCAAGCAAGACATGGTACTCTTTCAAGATTTCAAACAGCCATTAATAAAGAGATTCAGGAAAGTATTTTATGCTTTTTGCCCTTCGCTAATATTAATAACATTTCTCTAATATGATTTGCACATTATCATCCCCCTCTATCATGTAATCAATCGGAAAAGAGGAGACTTACAATATAAGACCTTGAGCAAATTATATGACAAAAAGTACCGGACAAAGTACAAGGAACTGGATATTGATCTATACAGATTCTTCAGAATTTAAATTTTCTGATAGAAAAATAGCATAAAAACATCATTTTAAGGGGGTTCCAGGCATAGTAAGAAATGAGGAGGATTACAGTATAAGACCTTGAGCAAACTATATGACAAAAAGTACCGAATATAGTACAGGGAACTGGATATTGATCTATATAGACTCTTCAGAATTTTTAGGTTTTAGGGAAGAATTACAGTATAAGACCCTGAGCAAATTATATGATAAAAAGTACCAGAGATAGTACAAGGAACTGGATTTTGATCTATACACATTACCATCCCTTCCATCATAAAATCAATTGGAAAAGAGGAGAATTACAGTATAAGACCTTGAGCAAATTATATGACAAAAGGTACCAGACACAGTACAAGGAACTGGATTATAATCTATACAGATTCTTCAGAATTTAAATTTTCTGATAGAAAATAGCATAAAAACATCTTTTTAGGGGGGTTCCAGGCATAGTAAGAAATGTTCTAAACATTTCAACAAGCATTAATTCTACCTTCCAGAAGCTTTGAACAATGTTCTATGTCCACGCATTGATCGAAAACCAGTTACTATAGAAATTTATAACAAAAGAAACATCCATACCTTTCCTGTGATGATACATTGGTCAAATGATGGAGGATCCCTTTCTTATTATGCAATGGGTTAATGCACATTCTAGAAGGCATCACGAATACCCTGAAGAAAAGGTAAAGATGATTATTGACAAGAACGTGAACTATCAAACAGGTTTAAAAACTTTGCATCAACAAATATGCTATCAACTCCAGCAAAATTTGAACTTAAAAATAAAAGTGTATAAACCTGCAATAGCCAGAAACTTCTGCTTAAAAAGACCATAAACCTTCCAGCAAAACAGCACGAGAATCAAAGCATATTTTACTACGTACCACCCTAAACATATTAATCTATTGGTATATCACAGTAATCTTTAATATTACAAATAAATCATCCTAATGGATTAACTCTATGCAAAAACATCATCATGGTTGCTCAGTGCTAATCTAAGAAATATATCGCATTTACATTTTAAGAAAAACCCATAAATTTATCTTAATTATAAAATAACAATTCTAATAACGTCACTTGTGCCCCATAGTATTCTGAAATTTTTTTTCCCAGGGACCGAGAAATCACCAAAGTAGCAGCATATGCGCTTGGGCAGGCTAGAATTAAATCCTCAAACCACCCCATACTAGATGTCTATGGATGTAGATTGTCTGAAGGTAATAGATCTTCCCGCAACCCAGAAACCTGATGTCCATGGTTAGTTTAAAAATTAAAGATTAAAGCATGTAATAAGAATCGACAAAGTAAAATATTAATAAGAAGGTGAAGATTAAGGTAACATACTACAAATATTAAGCATTAAGGTGGTATATAGTAATAAATTTGTATAGTAGGATAGTACATTACAAAATGACTTTTTCCAGGAAAATGAGAGGTTCCGGTTGAGATAACGCTGCTGTAAAGGACGAAAGAAAACACTTGTCTATGTTATTGGTATAGAAAAGAAGAATTCATAAAACTGAGTTGCCTGCTTTCCTTACATACGCTGTTATGTGTTGTTATTCATAGATGTCAGTTGTTTGTTTTTGTGATAACTTTTAACAATAATTTTGTAAATGATATTTTCTAAATGGTGTTATTTAGATGTTATCAAAATCTTGATGTTAGGATAAACCAAATGATTAAAACAAATAATAACTGATCGTTTTAAATAATATTATATTGTTTCAGTAAGATAACATTAAATCAAACTTATGCATATGATACTGATATGCCTTGGAGTCAATTTTAGCGAGCAACAACAGAAAATTTACAGAAAAATAACAAAAACAGCATATTTTGGAAGAACAATTGGCTGATTTTGATTAATAACTTAATAAGAAACAAACGATACAAGCAATCTACAATTAGAGAGGTAGATTGTCTCTCCCAAACAACTTAAACAACGCTAGGAAGCCCTCGTAGAAAACTACACAGAAAAACTCAATCAAAACCTAACCCTAATACAAAATAATAATCCCTATATAAGCCCCTAGTCTTCCCCCAAAAATAGCCCAAAAAGATCTTTGTCTTAATTAATTCCCTTCCTACTTTAAATTGAAATTCCTTTCATTAATTTCTTCCTTAATCTTCCTCCTAGGATATAAAATAATTGGTTTATTGGGCCCCACAAGGGGGGCTGATATTCCTGTTGGTCCGTCCCCTTGCTGCTGGGCCGGCCGCAGGACCGGTCCTGCTGGACCGGCTGTAACAATACTCCCCTCCCAAAAATACACCTTGTCCTCAAGATGGAAGGTTGAAAATTGTCTCATGATTGTCTCGTATGACTCCCAAGTGGCATCATGCTCTAATAGTTCCTTTCACTTGATTAGTACCTCTTGTGTCTCTGTCTCCCCCTGCGTAAACCTGCTATTTCTATGGGTTCCAACATAGCTGTCAATGGCGCAAAATAGCGCGCGCCATGACGCACGGTGCGACGCGGCGCGACGCACCTACGGCGCCATGTTCATGGCGAGGCGCATGTGTTTAAAATAGTGCGCGCTATTTGCGCCACATGTGAACAATGGCGCATTGCGCATGGCGCAAAATAGCGCGCCAAGTTGTTTTTAAATTTCGGTATACTTATGAATATTTTTTATATTTAAAAATATATCTATATTTTAAGATAAACGACTATTCATTGCCCTAATTTCACGAAAGATTTTCTGTTTGTTGCATCCGCCGAACACATCTCGCAGTCCCTAAGTCGAGGTAGTTGAATCTATTCCGAAGTCGAAGGTTTTCTGTTTTCTATTTGCTTCATTCGCTGTTTCCGCCGAATCCAGCCGAATATGTCCCGAAGTTGAAGTCGTTGTTTCCGCCGAATCGTCCCACAGAGCAGTGCTTCTGCCAAATCCGCCCTTTCCTTCGTCTATTCCAATAAAATCTTACCAGCTGACTTTGATTTGCAACCTCTGTCTGTTCCGCACAGCTCTATTATTTTGCATTGCTATTTCTTACAATAATTTACAACTTAACAGGTATGCTCGGTACTGCTGGGTACATGCTCGATACTGCTAAGTAAATGCTCGATATCGCTAAGTACATGCTGGATACTACTCGGTACCGCTAGTTACATGCTCTGTACCGCTCGGTACATCTCGGTACAACTAGGTACACGCTCGGTATACGCTCGGAACCGCTAGGTACACGCTCGGTATCGCTAAGTACATGCATGATACCGCTCGGTACCGCTAGTTACATGTTCTGTACCGCTCGGTACAGCTCGGTACAACTAGGTACACGCTCGGTATTGCTAAGTACATGCATGATACCGCTCGGTACAGCTATGTAAATGCTCGGTACCGCTCGGTACATGCTTGGTACCGCTCGGTACATGCTCGGTACCGCTAGTTACATGCTCTGTACAGGTCGGTAAAAATAGGTACCAACTCAGTACACGCTCGGTACAGCTCGGTACAACTAGGTACACGCTCAGTACCGCTCCCTGATTTCCATACAAACGAACTTCAAAATTTCTCTTACAAATAAATTTTGTTCCTGACCTGGCAGGTCGAACCCGGCCAGGGGAGCTGCGCCCCCTTGGACCCCCAGCAGCCCCCATATTATGTTTCTTGGACAATATTATATTTCTTTATCTAAATTTGTTTGCTTTTAGGTGATCATAAAATGTCAAATTCAGTTCAATCTTTAAAAAAATATCCAGCATGAAAATATGTTATACTAACAAATGAATTCGACAACAACAGTATGACATGCATTTTTTGTGGTAAAATAACAAAAGGAGGAATTACACGCCACAAACAACACCTTGTTGGGGTTTTAGGAATGCAAGGCCTTGCTCTAAATGTCCCGAGCACGTGAAGTCTGAAATTAAGGCATCCATGTTGAAAAAAAAAAGATTTAAAGGAACAGTTAATGACATATCAAATGTCAACCTTGCTGAAGAAGAAGGAGAAGACTTTGATGTGATGACAGATAATATTTTAGTTGCAACTTCATAGCAAACGAAGAAGCAAATTGGATCATGGTCGCTTAAAGGATTTAGTTTATGTGAAATATAATAGAGCACTGATTCGGAGATTCAATCATCGTGATGTCATTGATCCTATTTCTTTGACTGAGATAGATGATGCAAATGAATGGCTAACAGGAAAATTAGATTATGAGTCTGATGAAGAAAATGACTATATTGCTGGAGAGGAATATTTAACTTGGATAAGTGTTGCTAAAGCTACTGGTGTTTATAATAAAAACTATAATATTCGGGAAATATCTAAAGAGAAAAAGAAAGAATCTTCAATTAGGCATGATGCTGCTATTGAGAATGATGATGAGGAGGGTGATGAAAAGGATTACGAAGCAGGAGACAATGTTGAAGAAGATAATGAAGCTTTTTTAACATTTGTTGATGATGATGATTTCCAAGAAGATTATATTAAATTCTTATTTGATCTTTTAAAAAAAGATTGTAATATTTGAATTATGAGATATTTGGATGTTACTTAGTCGAACTTATATATGTTATGGTTGTCTTTTATTATTATGATAACTTGTCTTTCATTTTTAATAATATTTCATATTCATGCTTATTATTTTATAATTTTTATATAGCTTGCACCATGTTCAAAATAGCGCGCGCCGCGCCGTGTGCTATGCGCCATGGCTCCAAAGGGACCTTTGCGCCATGGTGCGCCATTCGCCGTTAACAGATAACTTCTATATTCACAGTCAAAGTTGGGGGTAGTGGTGATGGCGTATGTTCCCCTATTTCCTTCATCAGCTGCGATATATGAAAGACTAGGTGCAAAGCTGAGGATGGTGGTAGCATTAATCGATATGCTACTGCTTCGATGCACTCCAAGATCACATAAGGCCCAAAATATTGTGGGGATTGTTATGTGTCGAATTTGATTGTGTTGATCAATCCGGTTGTTCCATTGCCTCAGACCTCAAATTTCTCGTGCTCGCTTAGGGGGGGGGGGACCCCTGCTTGAAAAGAAAATATTTTCTCCATACAACCCCCAGACGGTGTGTACCCAAGTGCCCTAATCCTGAACAACAGAGAGTGAAGCACTACAACATTCTAGATACAATGACACAGCGGATCAAGAAAGAGGTTCAAGAGCGCTGCAGCACTGCGAGACAGACTGGACGGTTTTATTTTTCATTTTTCTGAAGGGTTGCGTCCCTTCGGGTTATTTTTACTTGGCTTTCTCTTGTAATTTGAGAAATATAGAGAGAACGATACATGTGAGAAGAGAAGGAGAGAGTAAGAGAAAAAAAAAAGATATGTACTTATTTCTCTCAATTTTCATAGTGGATTTTGGTGTGGCTATGTGGTTTTTTCTCTATTTTTTGTTTTTTCACATTAAATCTCAGTGTCCTTTATTTTTTCATTGCTTTTACTTTCTTGTTTGTTTCTTCATTGTGGTGTTTACTCCTCATCGCCAACAAGGATAATTTTTCATTCCTTCTCATGACTAATGTTTTATGTCTATAGGGCCTCAATTCTAAGCAAATTATGTCTCCTTGTTCAAAATGTACCTCTCTCTCGTGGCCATCTGCCTTCCTTTTCATGATTTGTTGGGTTCTCAACAAATGTCACTTAAGCTCCGCTAGTACCCTGTCTATCTCCTCTAAGTACTTCTTTACACTAGACACTAGTGTAGTGTTGCCTCAATAATGAATCAAGAGAACCCTTAAGGGATTTATCTTTGCTCCTGATTGGTACCAGGTGTTGTATTAATATTCTGTCCACACAATCCACCTAGTCCAACTCTTTGGTGTGTATGATACAAAGCATCTCAAGTAGGTCTCCACACTGCGGTTGACCACTTCTCTCTGACCATTTGTTTGAGGGAGGTAGGCCATACTTGCTTCAATAGCATCCCCTCTAAACTTAATAGCTCCTTCCATAAGTGGCCAAGAAACACCTTGTCCCTATCTGACATAATGACTTTTGGGAACCCGTGCAAGCGTGCCACTTCTTGAATAAAAAGTGTAGCCACTATGACTTCGGTGTAAGGGTCCTTTAGAGGGATGTGTTCGCTCAAGAAATGAATGTTGTGCTACAGCATGAACCCTGCTTTCACAAGCTTAAAGTCCCATTTCCCTTGAGGTAGATTGGAATTTAAATTAACCATATTTCCCTCGATGAACGAAATCAGGGTTGATTTAGTTCTGAGGTTCCACTTTCTATGAGCGTAAGCCCTCATAGTTAATTACCCTTTCTGACGCATAGAAGAAAACTCTCGATTAAAGATGAATCAATTTTTAGATGTGCAACATATTTAAATTTTGGTTATGAGGGATAAAGGTAAACCTGATCAAGATCCCATGGTTCTGTCGTCCCGGGTATACCGTAGGTTTCAGTCTATCAACACTAACAACCATTGATTGTAATATCCAAGTAATCTGATTAGCAGCTATGTGTTGCCTCCTCTCAAGGATCCCGAGTAAACTGAAGTAGATATATGTTCATGTTCAAATTATTCAGATATTATGTCATTGAACTAATGTCTACCATCATCATATTAAATAATTTATTCATAAAAAAAAATGTGTTTGAAGTCGAAGGCTTCTCATACATCTTCGTTAGTGCAGTAATGAGATAGATTGTAGTCTTCCCATTAACAATGTTGAAAACAACAAATGATAAAAATAAAAATCGAATCAAACCTAGCGTTATTCGGTCAAATACCTCTTGAGAAATAGGGCTTCCTCTAGCGCGCATCTGAGGCTGGACTCCTGGTGCCCGAGCCCCTCGCAAGAATCGCAATGCTTGCCAGGGCAGTCTATCCTGTTTCCCCAGTACAAGTACTTGCTTTCAAGTCCGCTTGATCCCTCCATCTCGCCTGCGCTCGCCGAATAAATCGAGAAGCGAATGACGGATATCGAGGAGGAGAAGAAAACCCAAACAAGACCAATGGCAACCGTCGCCACTGACAGAAGGAGCAGAGGAGATCTCGGCTTCCGCTGCTTGTTCTTGGGGTTCTTCGACATCGCCATTAAAGTGGAAGATGAAAGGAGGCAGTGTGTCCCCACACAGAATCTAGTACTCCGATCGGAAGTCGACTGCTTTCTTCGCCTCTGAAATGCGATGCCGCCACCTTATACGAGTTCACCCATGGTGGAATTCGAGTCCGACACGTTGATCTGTACAACTCGACGCCGCCATCAAGCTCGAGTCCGTATTTTGAGCTCAATTTCGGAGATGAGCTTGATTTGTAACTTAATTAGTGTTAGCAAACTCGATTATATTCTTTTAAGCTGGTTAGCATGAACTGCATTATTGGCTCTTAATAGTTAAAATTTTATATATTTTTAAAAATATATATAAATAGCCCTCAAAATTATTTGAATTGCATATTTAATAACTAATTTTTTTATTTATAAAAAAATAGCGCGACGTTAACAAAACATCAACGACAATGAGAATGTTATATATATATATATATATATATATATATATATATGAAGTACTTATATAAATTACTATGTATAAGTAACGAAAAATGAAATGAACAAAATGACTCGCAACATGTAAATAAAAGTATAAAAAATGAAAGGTACATAAATGAAAATACATGAGCTCACCCTCTTATAGTATTAGTAGAAGATACAATATACCCATGCACATTAAATGAAAAATAGAATAAAAATGATTGTAATTTCATTAGTACAAAATTTGATGGTACTTATGTAATAAATGAAATAAAAAAATGAATGAAGTTTATATAAAGAAATAGAATTTTGATCTACATTTATATTAAATATCCATATATGTTTAAATAAAAAAATTTGACAAATGAACATGATTATTTATATGCATATTTAATTGATATGTTATAAATTATAATTGTCCACTAAGTTTATTATGAAGAACTCAAATCTGTTAAATTTAAATGTTGGGTAAATCTTGTAACAGCTCAAACTCTTAACTATCGAGATATTGTTCTTTTTGACCTAAGAGCCTCATGGTTTTGTCATGTTGGTGTAACTTCCAAGTTGGTCACTCATCTCAGAATTGTATTGGGATGAGCACGCCATTACACCAAAAACAACATTGATGTTTAAGAGTTTAGCTTCTTTTACTTAAAGGATTTCACAAATATCCTGCGGATTAAATGACTAAAAGAGAATAGTTCGTGTATAAAAGAAGGTGATCAAATAGAAAAAGATAAGTTGATTATTATATATTCAAATTGAGAATTTTGTTTTAGTGGCTTTTTAGTTGTATTTTGAATATTATTCTATTAAGTAATTAATGTTATTAAAAAACTATAATAAACACCCAACCATCTCCTACCGCTTGTTTAATTCGAGCTTTCAAGCCGGATCGTGACATGTGTTATAATTCCACATGTGTTATAATTCCTCATCATCGAGCTTATCATATAAGACTAAAGGAACATTAAAAGCTATAAAACTATGTAGAATACATCCTTGTTAAGGGTTTGATTTGAAATAATACTATTCCTTGTGTGATTCCGATGTTATTAGTCCCAAAATAGCTAGCACGTGACATGTGCATAGATAGCATTGTTGTTAATAAGATCATGATAAAATACTTATTTCTGTCAGCTAGATAATTTATTTGATAAATTACACTGAGCATCTTTGTTTTTTGAAAAATTGAATTGTGAAGTGGATATCACCATATATAAATGAAACTAGTGGATGAATGAAAGATGGCTTTAAAAATACGAGGCGGGTTATATTAGTGGATGGTGATGCCTTTTGGTATATCTAATGATCCCAATACTTTAAAGTGATTAATGACTCAAGTATATAAACCCTTCGTGGTAAAATTTGTAGTGGTATGCTTTGATGATATTCTTGACTCTTGAGGATCATTTAAATCATTTAAAATAACTTTTTGAAGTCCTGCAATAAGAAAAATTGCATGCCAATTCTAATAAATGTGGATTCTTAGCTGACAATATTTAGGATATATTATATGTAGCGCAAAAATATAAATGGACTAAAATAGGTTTGTGCATTTTAGATTGGCTTGTACCTTGATCATTTATAGACATGAATTTTTGACAGCTTGTTGTTCTTCTATTAACATTTTATTAGGAACTTTAACTCTGAGATTGCTCATTTTAACTGACATTCTTAAGGGAAGCAAATTCATTGAGCACATGTAGCCCAATCTAGTTTTGAAAAACTTAAATATATAATGACCAACGCACTAGTCCTTGCACTTCCTAATTTCAACTATATTTATGGAGTTGGCTATATACCCCTCAAATTCATGAATTGGTGTCATATTAAACTAGAATATGCAACGAGTCCCCTATTTTAGTGAAAAATTGAATGAGGTCTGACACAAGTTATTCAGTTATGATAAGTAATTGTATGTGATTGTCTGTGTCTTAGATCACTGAAATTATTATCTCTTATCCAATGAATTTATTTTATACTTAGATCATAAAACCATAAAGTACCTTCATAGTGAGCTTAAGGAAATGCATGCTAAGTGGGATGAGTTATCATCTTTTTATTACATTTTAAAACATGAGTTTGGTATTCAAAATAAGACTACAAATGATTTGAGTTAATGTTACACCCTTTTTAGTATCCTTCAATTTAAGGTCATTAGATTTATAGCAATAAAATTTTGAGGATTTGGATTTTGGGTAGAAGTTGAAGCTTTGTCAAATGGGAACCTATAAATCATTATTTTAATACCAAAAAAAGAAGTTATAAGCCATCTATTCAGCATGATATTAACATATTTCTTAAAAGATGTAGAATTTGCCACAAAGCCAAAATTAGGGGGAAAAAAAGATTTATACACTCCATTAATTGTTCCCGGGTAACCCTGGGTAGATGTGAGTATAAATTTTGTGGTAGGTTTCCTAATGCTCAATGATATAAGAATTCTCTCATGATAACGGTGGATCAATTTTCTAAAATGACTAACTTGATTCCATGTCATAGAACTCATGACATTTTTTATATTGTTGGCTTATATTTTTGAGAAATCATTCATTCACATAGAATTTAAAAAATCATTATGTTGAATAGAGATGTGCATTTTTCTTAGTCATTTTTTAAGAATTCTATGAGAACAGTTGTACGCTAAACTTCGATTTAGCTCCATTGCTCACCCTTAGATGGATGGTCAAACAGAGATTGTAATCATAGTCTAAAAAATTTATTATAATTTTCCTAAGAAAAAAACTAAATATAAAACAAATGGATCTTTCTATAGCCCATGCTGAGTTTGCTTACAATCAGTCCATCACTAACTCTAGCTTGAAATCCTTTTCAAGATTATGTATAGCTAGAACCCCATCACTCCTTTAGATTTATCCTCTATGGTTATGATTTTAGAATGTAGTATTGTTGGATATAAGCAAATTAAGAAAAATAAAAAAGTTACATCAGGAAGTCCAATAAATGACTAAGTAGAAACATGTTCAATGTCAAAAATAAGACAATAAATCTTGTACTACATCTTCCTTCAAGAAAGGTGATCATGTTTGGATTCATTTACGTAAATAACATTTTCCTCCTGAACCTTTTGCTAAACCTAAACCAAATCTACAAGACCATTTAAAGTAATTAAACGTATACGAGAGGATGCCTATAAAATTGAATTACTTAGAGAAATGAATATTTTAGCCACCTTCAATATATAAGACCTTTCACAGCTATGATTATGAAAGAAACTTGACATCCAGGGTGAGTGTTCCCCTTCCTGAGAAGCATGATATGGTTAGGGATTGTAAGTTTTTAGCATTTTTCTTTTTTTTTTAGATATTCTAGTAATTAGTTGTGTTGCATCCTAGAATATAAACGACGGTAGAGAAATATATTGTCTGAAGTCTTAGTATTGTATGAAGATCCAACACACAAGAAGATGAAAGAGATAACGTAGCATTCAGAAGAGACACCGGAGTTTTTACGTGAAAACCCTTGAAAAGGGGGAAAAACCATGGGGCCTAGCCCAGTTTGAATGAATCCACTAGTATTTGCAGTCGATTACAAATGAGGCACTTCCTTGGGAGAAGGCATTGGCTTGATATCACAACATTATATATAGTGCATTACATGGTGGGAGTTATAATAATCAATATAGATATATTTGTTTGGTTGACAGGACCATAGTCGATAGGATAGAGGTCAGAAATACCATAATATATGATGGAGGTCGGAAGGACCGTAGTCGGTATGAGACAGAGGTCAGAAAGACCGTTGTTTGGAGATTGGGGTCAGAAAGATTGTTCTCTGTGATAGAGGTCGGAAGGACCGTAGTCAGCATGAGACAGGGGTCCGTAAGACCGTTGTCTAGCGATGGAGGTTGGAAGGAACGTAGTATGCGATGGAGGTTGAAAGGATCGTAGTCGGCAGGAGACAAGGGTCTAAAAGACCGTAGTTGACAAAAGATCAGGTTAGAAAGATCGTAGTTGACTGGAGATTGGGGTCAGAAAGGTCATAGTTGATAGGAGACGGAGGTCAAAAATATCGTAGTTGATTGGAGATTGGGGTCAAAAAGACCGTAGTAGTAAGGAGATACTCTGGTAGAATTATGGGTGTCAGGTGTTGGTCCAGCAGAAGCCTGAGCGTCATGTAGTGGTTCGGTAGAACTCTAGACTTCAGGTGGTGGTTTGGTAGAACTCCGGGCATCAGGTGGTGGTCCAGCAGAACTCCGGGCCTCATGTGGTGGTCCGGCAGAAGTCTGAGCCTCAAGTGATAATTTAGCAAAAGTCAGGGTCTTAGGTGGTTGTCCGACAGAAGTCAGGGCCTTAGGTGGTGGTCCGGTAGAGCTCAGGGTCTCAAGTGGTGTTCCCATATAACTCTAGGTGTCAAGTGGTGATCCAACAGAAGTCCGAACATTAGGTAGTGGTCCGATAGGAGTCCAGGGCTCATGTGGTGGTCTGGGATATGTCTGAGCCTCATGTGGTGGTCCGGTAAAAGTCAGGGCCTCGGGTGGTGGTCCGGTAGAAGTCAGGGCCTCAAGTGGTGGTCCGACAAAGCTTAGGGCCTCAGGTGGTGGTCCAGCAGAACTCGGGCGTCAGGTGGTGGTTTGTCAAAAGTTTAGGCCTCAAGTGGTGGTCCAGCGGAGCTCAGGGCCTTTAGGGGTGGTCCAATGGAGCTTAGGGCCTTTAGGGGTGGTCCAATGGAGCTCAGGGCCTCAAGTGGTGGCCCGACAGAACTCCAGGCCTCATGTGGTGGTTCGGCAGAACTCTGGGAGTCAGG